ACACGTTTTTTTTTTCGTCTATGGTTTAAAACTTCTGGATATTTAAGGTATTCTTTAAACAAGCAGAAATGTCATCTAAAGCGCCAGTGTTAATTATATGTGATCGTGGCGCGATGGATCCGAGTGCCTACATAGATCATAATTCATGGGAAAAAATGCTCACAGAACTGGGTGAAGATCAGTTCAGCATGCGAGAAGGCCGTTATGACCAGGTAAAATTTCATTATTGTTGTTGTCCTAAGCTGTCACTGTATCAATTGTTAGCCATTGATAGCTTCATCTGTGATTCATCGTCAAAATTCTTGTAAACTCACAAAGATCTTCTGGCAAAACTTGTTTTACCGGATGTCAGCGTAGATTAGTGTTTAAGGAAATGATACTGTTGGCTAACGGTAACTAGGAAGTGCTAAATTTGTTTATCACAATAAAATGAGTCTTGCTGATGTCATTAAAAGTTTGTTGAAATTTACTCATATTTTACAAAGCTGTGGTTTGTCAAAGAAAAAAAAGCTTTTTTCTTTTGTTTTCAGGTAAGGAATAATGTTTATAAAAAATATGTTTACAAAAAAAAAATTTAACATATTTTTTACAAAATTTTCTGCTAATTTGTTAGAATCGTCATTTAGATGTACAAAAATTTTGTAAACAAAAATGTAGAAAGTGATCACTGTTATCAGTATTTTTTTTTATCGAATTTATGCACTATCTCATTGAATGTTTTCTTATTAACACTTTATAGATTTGCATAAATGGCATTCATCTATAACAAAGAATTAGAGGCATAACTGAATATGATTAAATGGTTTTGTAACAAAACTGGTTAGCTGGTTCAAAAGTTAACTGATAGACCTGTTATCATCTGTAATTGTCAGTCAGATATTAGGAGCATAAGTTAAGCAGACCAGTTAGTTGATAAAAGATGTATGTAAGTGAAATATTTATGTAATTGAGACTTCATAGTTTACTTGTTAGTGTAATGCATACTGTAAGTTACTCGGTTATTAATATTAGTTGAACTGTTGGCGATGAATAGTCAAATTTAGGTAATTCATTTGACTACTGCAGCTGATGGTGCCGAAGCATACTATACGCTCGCAAATAATCAAGCACGGAAAGAAAGTTTGGAAGCAGCTATTATTCAGGATCAGAAAACTCGAGATGTGATTTCTGTGTTACCTTTTACCAACAGAAGTGTTTTTTCTTTTTTTTTTTTTCTTTGTTTTGTTTTACTATAATCATCGTTATTTGCAATAGCTCAACACTAATTGTGAGCACGATGAACGTTGGCTGAAATGTGACCATCTTTAAAAACAGTTTGTTTAGGCATGGCTTGGTCATCCAAGAGTTGATGTGATAGATAATACTGAATGTAAATCATTCGAAGATAAGATGCTCAAATTGATTGCGGCTGTATGTGATCGTGCCGGTATTACGTCAGTATCTGATCGATTATCCTTTGACAGCAAGTAAGTTTCATTAAATTTAATTTTTTTTTTTTGTTGATGTTGTTGTTCCAATTGTTTTTATGAGTAATTCAATAAATCAAAAATTTTGCTTTTGTTTAGACAGTAAAAGGTACACAGAGAACATTTATGTTTTTCTAAATTTTAAATGATTTAAACAACAAATGTTGTTTGATCTGTATCAGCAATCAAAAATGTTTTGTTTGTATAGGAAACGGAAATGGTTGGTCAAGTCGTTGGACAGGGCAGCAATGCCTCGGTGCGAAACCTTTACTGTACGCCATCATTATTTGCGTTCATCTCAACCGGATCTTCAGGTACGAATAAACTTGTCAATCGGGTGTAAACATTTTTAGTGATATACAAGTTTTAAATAGGCAAAGATATTTTATCGAATTAATCCCATCTGCTTTACAGAAACTTCTTTTTTAATCCAGTTATATCCAGCTGTATTTGCCGACATTTTTTTTTTAGCTTCGATTACGTTCAAGAAGTCAGAATGGTAGGACTACGTATACATTTACTACCCGATATCTTTATCCAGAACCCCTTGAAACAAAGATGCAATTAAGCGAAAGGGAATATCAGCATTACCTCAAGATTATGGATCATTCTCGTGCACCCATTAATAAGCAACGCATGT